ACCACAATGGCTTTCTCCATTCACTGGCCTTTGAAATACGACAAGCGAAGGAGACCTTCTGCCCCCCATGCGTCCCCTGGACTCTGGTTACCCACCTTCCTGCACCCCCATCAGACCGTTCAGAAATGCTGCTTCTGTTCAACACCGTGAAAACCTGAGCACTAGTCTGGTTTGTATTTCATTCTTTCTCTTACATCCTCTCACAGTGGCACTTTGACAAAGATAAATCTCTCCTCGGTTCTAAAAGGAATCTGTATTTATAAATTCTTTGAAAAGATTTTGACCCAGGACGTGGGAGACTGGGAGTGGTCCCTGCTCAGCCACAGACATGCTGAACGGTTTCTGGCAAGTTGTAGAACATTTCTGACTTCAGCTTTCTCATTGAGAAAACAACCATGTTGGACATGGTCCACAGGTCAAAACTGAGCTAATCATTGCAATACGTGGATACTCCAAAAAGAAAAAATACCCTATATATATTTTAATAAATACATATAAATATAATTTATAAATAGTAGACTTAAAAATAATACATAAATATTTTTTTCAGAATTTCCATATGTAATATATAGGTCATATATATATTATAATAATAACATATAATGCAATTCCAAAGGAAAAGTTACATGTTTTATACATATATATATATTTGTGTGTCCAGGATCTGTAATTCGTATTGTAAACAAGCTCTCTGGGTGATTCTGAAGATTTGACAGGTCTGGAAATTACTAGAGAAAAAGGTCCCCAGTCTTCCCAGTAGCGTTTCTTGGTTTCTTGGTAGGAACACTGAGTTTTTTCCTCCTACCTATTCCCAGGAGCCTGGAGGCTGTGCATGTAAGAGTAAGCACAATAGGGCTTCCAGGGATGATTAAGAGGTCAAAGGGGTCTGCTCTGCTCGAGGAAGGAAAGAGGAAGTACCTTCTGTCCCCTACCCAGGAAACCCCACACTTGCTAGAAGGGCACTTCCTTAGAGCAGAAGGAAGGGCGAACACCCCAGATGCCTCAGGACAGGCTGAGGGGACGATGTGCTTCCTATCACCCGGACCCTGGCCTGTGGCCCAGGAGGTTTTGTCTGCTAAAAGGGGCTGCCTTATGATTTAAATTAGGCCTGGATGATCAGCTCTGCACGTGGATTCTGCGTCCTGATTACAAATCCCCCACCATTTAGGAATCCACATCTCCATTCTCTACAAGCACTTTGCTTTTGAAAAGGGAGCTAAATTGCTGCCAGAGGATTGGATTCTGGCTCCAGAGAAGCCACCAAACTACTTCTGTGACTTTGAGCTTGTCCCTTCACCTTTCAGTGCCTCCGATGCCTCACTGTAAATTAGGAGGCTGAAAAATCTTTCTCAGGTCCTTTCTAGCTGTGAAAGGATGCAAAGTGACTTTTTTTTTTAAATATCTGCTGCCAATGTTTAGATAATCTAGTAAAGAGGTATGTAAATATCATTATGTAATAGTTTCTAGTGACAAAAAAAAAAAGACAGACAATATATCTAAATAAGGAAATGGCTGCATGTTGGGGCACGTCCACGCAAGGAATATTATTCAGTCATTTAGAAAGGTGAGTTTGAGCTCTATCTGTTGCCCTCAAGGGATGTCCATGATGAGTTATAAAAGTGAGAAATTTATAGAGAATTTAAGCAAGTGAAAGAAATATGTGTGTATGAAATTGATGCTTTTAATAAAAAGCACGCAAAGTGCATATGTTTTACATGAACATTGAAAATGGATGAAAAGATACCGATCGTGCTGTTAATACTGGTTCCTAGAGAGACAAGGAATGGGGTGAGGGAACATTATTAGCTATTCTTTTCATATCTTCAAACTGCTTCAGTGGTTGTAGTGAAAACAATTTTCTTTTGTAATTTCTTTGAAGACAGATTAAATAAATGAACGAAAAAAATCAAACATCCTTATCACAGCTCTTCTCATGAGGAAGGCACAGGGGGTGTGGAGTGGAAATTTAAGATCCGGTCCACACAAGGTATTGGAAAACATTCCCACAAAATTAGATTTCTCTTTCTTTTTGGGCATATTCTCCATCCCCATTGCCACTGCCCTGGGGGTTCACCATCTCCTGCCAGGATTGTTGCATCAACCTCTCAACTTGTCTCTTTGCTTTTAGTCTCATTCTGCGTTCTTCACATTGCTGCCCATGAAATATTTCTCATACACCTGGTCATGTCACTCCCTTTCCTGAAAACACTCAATGACTTGCCACTGCTTGTAGGATATAGTCTACACTCTTTAGCAGAGCAAACTAAGCTCAGCACATTCAAGTTCCAAATTTTCTGTTCGATCTTATTGACAAACATTTCCTCTGCGTATTCTATTCTCCAGACACACTGAATGGCTCACCTTTTGCTGTTTTTAAAACATGCCTTTTCACGGCTTCATGTTATTTCGTTGGCTATCTCCCTCAATCTGAATTCAGTTTTCCCTATGCATTTCTGGTGAACTCTTACAGATCTTCAAGACACAACCTAAATAAAATTAATTTGTATATCAGGACCTACAAAATGGATGCCACCAGTGGCCCAGTCCATGTCACAAATCTAAACATGTCAGCCTGCCCTTATGGGAAACACCTGTCAAGGAAATGTAACATACATCAATCACAATCCTCCAACTCGGCTTTAGTTAGCTTACCTTACCCGAGAAGACAGGACCTGCTAGCCTTATAAAGAAATCCTCAGCCTCCTGGCCTATCATGCACTGTTTCCACGTTGCCTCTTCAAATGCTCTATAAAACTGGTTCTTTGCCCCAGATCTCTCAGGAACAGTGCTCCACTGCTTGGGAGGCACTGTATTCCCCTAATCCATGCATTGTTCTCCCTTGAATAAAGGACATCAGATTTGTTACTAAATTGTTTTAGTTTTGCCATTTGACACCTGTATGTGGTTATCTTTAATGCCACCCTCAAGAGTAAGTCATCCACACCCCTCCAACATCCACAGTATATGTTTATACTAAAGCTTACTACTATTCTATTATAATAATTTATATACTTACTTTTCTCCTCCTAGAATAAAAACTGCATTGCACATGGTACATGCTCAATGAATTCTGCATAAATTATATTTACTTCTAACCTTCCTGAAATATTTTTTTTGATATTGTAGCAAAAATCAGATTATAGTCTATAAGCGATAATGACTGGTAGTTTAAATTTTGTTTCCAGGTGACCAAAGTGAGTACTTGGTTAAAAATTGACGCTTATCAAAAGAACACCAACCTGTGCTGATTATTGCATTTAAATGATTACTTCTGTTGGTTATTCCTGCCCCAAACTCTTGGAACCCTTCATTTCTACCTGCTCCCCCACAAAACAGTGTGAGATAGATGCAATAACATTCTTTTAGGCACCCAAAGATTAAGGTCTAAGTTTTGATTCTGCTTCTTCCGACTGAGATCTGGCCAGCTCTTAACTTCTCTGTTATCACACTTGGCTCATCTATGAGCATTGTTATTCAACGGGGACAATGATAAAATGACTACTTCACAGGGTCATTGTGAAGTTGAACCAATAAGAACGTTAAAGTTCCACATGAACCTAAATTGTTGTTACTTTTTTAACAGCTGCCCTTCCTACAGTATTTATTTGCCCCTTCCCCCATCACTTCCCTAATGGGGGTGAAGTCAGAGGAGTAATCCTGGGTGTCCCGAGAAAAAGAACAGCGTGCAGATCTAGCTCATTAAGTAAACCTGTTGGATCAAAATGAAGATTTCCCACATCAGTGATTATGGGGAAGTTACTTCCTGTACAAAAATATTTTTCATTTTGCACAAAGTGTCATTACTTGGTTCATTTAAGTAGTAAGGTCTTCAGAATGAATACCATATTCACACAAAAAAATCACTTCTCACACACACATTTTCACAGTAATCAGTTAGAGAAAGTCTTTCTCTTCCTATTTCTCCTGTGAACACCATTTCCTCCCACTCCAGGGAGACAGAGTCGAAGCAAAATTTGCTAAGCTTTGGAGGTGGGTTAATCTGCGTTACAATCTGGCCTCCAACACTTACAAACTCTGGGCAGAATATTTAAGTTCACTGAGCCTCTATTTCTAAATCAGTCAAATGGATGTAATGATATCTAGCTTGCAAGGTTATTATGAAAATCGAAACAAAAGATATAAAGTGCCTGGCATGTAATATGTGCTCAACAAATAAGAGCTGCCCTCATTAATACGTTTCGCCATCACCCACTTCAATATTCTGTTCCTGTAAATCAAAAAGCTGGTGAGCTTTCAAGCAAGCAAGAAATCAGAGACCTCTGGCACGCGAAATAGTGACTACGTAAAAGATGAAAACTCAAAAAATTATCCTCTTTAATGATATTTCTTAAATATACTCTGAGATCCTAATGTTTAATCATGACTAAAACTTAGTTGGATTACAATTCTGGTCCTAGGACAAAGCAGGAAGAATTATTAATAATAATTATCAGTATTCATTGGGTAAATGGAATAGTCCACAGACGGGTATGAAAAGCCCGCCAGGAAGGAGAGTTTCATAGGCTCTTATTGTCAATGAGTCTTAATGTTTAAAGCTTATGGACTCTAATCAAGCAGGAAGACAATACAGTGAATGGAGTACAGTCTCTGATACCTGACTGGGTTCAAGTCCCAGCTTTGCCACTTTCCACCTGTGTGAGTGAAAAATCAGTCCAGTCAAAGAAAAACAAACAGACCTAGACGTCAGCTGACACAACTTCCTCACTTCCCATCAAAGAAAACTGAGCTGCAATGTAATTGACTAAGATCCCGCCAATATGGATACACACCTACTTCCATGGCAGAGCTGAAGCTTGAATTTGGAACGCCTGACTCACAGTCCAGAAAGTATTCAACTGCACAAAATCATAGCAAGAAATCACACAGACCTCTTCAGTTCATCACTATGCATTTTGCCTAGCAAAATTAGCACAACTCATGTTTATTTGAGGTCTACATTTTTTAATTAGGATAAGCTAGTTGTCCTCTTATTCATATACCTTATCTTTCCAACTTGAGAAAGAGGAATCCAAAATTGGGCAATTCTCTCGCTTGTATTGGGTCATCTCTTCCCACAGGCATTCCAGGGCAGCTACACATAGGTCTATCTGAAGAAGGGAAACACAACAACATTTAAGAATACTTACGACACTGCAATTTCCAGCCATCTTTGTTAGACTTTGGGCCTATGAGGGCATCATGATTATTGTATTTAGCATCCCCAAAATGCTTAGCACAGGGTTTTGGCAAATAGAAGATGGTCAATAGATTTTGATCAATGAGTGAAATGAAAATGAGCTCATCTTTATGAATGGGTCCCTGCTGCCCAGGCTAATAACATGTTCTCCTCCTAAACTGCTCCTAGAGTATTTTATTCACATCGACCTCGTCGCACTTGCCTCAGTCTAAGGGTACCCAAATAGCTCTTCCACCAGCATATAAACTCCTTGATGGCAGATATTTTCTTCTTTTTCTTTTTTTCATAAGCCTATGTCCCAAACACACATGCCCCCACCAATAATCCTAGCCTGATGCCTGTCACATTCTAGGGGCTCATTGCGTTTATTGAATGAAACTGAATCTACAGAGGTTAACCAGAATGACCTCTCAAGGACACTTTTAATCCTAGGAATCCATGACTTTGGAGTGCTAGAAAGATGTCTTCTAAAATACCACCATTTGCTTTCGTATCTTGTTTAATAAGCTGTCTGTGATCCATACAGCCTTGGGTGAGGGAATGCCAATGGAAGATTCATATACATTCATCTATACCATTCCTTGGGATACCAAGCTTGGAAATAAATGCTTCCTTTGCTAATGTGTTCTCACATGGCATTTCCTGTACCCAGATGTCAGCAAGGGGATTTTAAACAATGATACACATTGTTTATATTTATTTTAATTTATTTATTTTACTTTACTTTATTCCTAAACACTGTATTATAGGACTTGTCAACACAGTTAATTCTTGAATTCAGCCAAATATATCTCAAGTTTTACTAAGTTGAGGCCAAGCATCAGAGGACTAAATAAACTACCCTTAGATTCTTCAGACAGTATCTAATATGAGACCAACTTCCTATAGATTAAGCCAAGATGACATGCAAACAGAGCTCATGATCTAAAGTGTTTTGCTTTATAGGAAGGTCAGAAAGCCCTGGATCTTTATAGTGACTGCTAAAAGGAGTCAGGATGCCCAGAAAACTAAATTACTGCCAGAGTAAAACATTCTGTGTTATTTACAAGTGGAAGCTGTCAGGTCAGCTAAATCAATTATTCACCATTTGTTCAATTTGGCTTTATATAAATCTTCATTTTCTCACATAGCAAATTCCCAATTTATTGTGAAGACATACACAGTCAGTAATGAGGATAGAATGCCAAATGTTAAACTGAGGACAGTTGCAAAATTTACAAGTTCTGCCCCCTCAGCTGGCTTCATTCCTCTGCATCTTTCTCTTGCCCGACAGCCATCATTCTGTCTGATTTTCATACAGAAGTCATAAACAGAAGCACTATTCCATCACCCAACAAGCAAGAGTTGTGCAACATCTTTGCTTCATGATTTGGAAACCGAGAATTCCAGCTGATACCTATCACTTGGGAGGCTGGTGAATGTTTAACAAAAGCACACAGTAACAGTAATAATAGCTATTAAAAACAACCATTTCTATATTGCCTATTATGTGGCAGGATCACTGTAAGGTGCTTTACATATACTATTTTACTTAATCCCAATAACACCCTTTGAAGATGTTATTTATATCACTTTACAGTAGAAGCAGCTGAGATTTGAGATGTTAAGAAGCATGTCCAAGGTTATAAGGTTAGTATTAGCAGATCCAGGATTCTAGCATGCCAGAGGTATAGTACTTTTTTTTTTTTTTTTTTTTTTTTTATTTTAAAGATTTTATTTTTTCCTTTTTCTCCCCAAAGCCCCCCGGTACATAGTTGTGTATTCTTCGTTGTGGGTTCTTCTAGTTGTGGCATGTGGGACGCTGCCTCAGCGTGGTCTGATGAGCAGTGCCATGTCCGCGCCCAGGATTCGAACTAACGAAACACTGGGCCGCCTGCAGCGGAGCGCGCGAACTTAACCACTCGGCCACGGGGCCAGCCCCAGAGGTATAGTACTTTTGATCCCATCCCTTCTTTCTCTTAATTTCCCTTCCTGAGCATGGGTCATCAGGCCATTTTCTCTCTCTTGCTACCATTGCTGAGAGCTCTGATTTCAGCAACATCTCTACCCCAAAGCCCTTTTGGGATGACCCTTTATTAACAACATGATCCATCTAGAAGAATATTCCTGAACTCTGCCCTTGGAATTAATAATTTCTTAGCAATCAACTAGAGTAAATTCTCTGCGGCAAGGCCTGAGGAAGAAAATAAAACCTAAGAGGAAGCACCTGCATAATTAAAAAGGACAAGCCTCCCCCGCCCCCCTTACAATGCAAAAAAGATGGAGTGAAAGAGACACGGAAATTGATGGAGGATTCAATTCCAAAGACTCAATCTTGGACCAAATGAATTGTTTTGTAGCTCTGAACATTTAACGGGTCACCTTAACTGCTAGGATTTGCTGAAGAGCTCTGCTGATGTGTATGTGGGCACAGGGCTGGCCCAGGGAACTTGGTTCTCTGAAGGTAAGGTTGGTGACTTGGTCAGGGATAGTCACCTCTCACAGCGGTGTTGGAACAATAGTGGTGGGCTGTCCAAGGGATGCAGCTCTTGTCTCTCACAGTTGCTGTATACAGAAGCTTTTCTACTCATCTATTTCTGGCTTTAAAAGGAGGCTGTAATGTAGACTTTTTAAAGTAGAGGCTCTGAGAGCCAAATTTCCTAGGTTCAGATTGTGGCTCCTCTGCCTATTACCATCCCTAAGCCTCAGTTTTCCCATCTCTAAAATACTGACAAACTTTCATAAATACAAACAAAGCAATGAATCAGAGTAACATTTCATCAGCTTTGCTCACCGCCAACAGATGGCAGGAATCCTCCTGACCTAGCTGTGTATCTTTAGACTTCTGGTGAATAACTGTATTTATGAAATGCATTCAGGGAAGCCAGTTGATAATTAGATGAGCTTCCATATTGGGGTCTGGGAAACCCAATTTCATCCACTGCATATTACAGCTGCATATCCATATCAAGTTATCTACTTACTTCATTGGCTTACAAACTGGGATCCACTGGACACCAGGGTACCACAATGGAGCTTCAAAAGTCTCTAGGGGGACAGGAAAGGTGAAGTAGGTAACTGACAATGAGTAGATGAGTTTCATACCCTCCATATCTTCTTTTAGGCAAAGCATCTGTGACATAATAAGAAATATATATTTGGTCTCTGCCCCAGTTCCTGACACAGAGCTCCCAAAATCCTTGTAATCCTGAGTGATGGGGCTGATAGGAGCGTCTTACACAGAGCACATGAATCCCTCAGAATTTCCCAGGTTACAGAAACCTCTTTTGTTCTAATGGGGTGACTCTTGGTGGGCTCCTAGATAGCTTCAGGATAGGGGTTAGTTGCCAGAAAGACTAAACCATGATTAGAAGTTTGGAACTTGCAGCCCTACCAACCAACCTCCAAAGAGGGAAGAGGTGCTGGAGAGTGAGTTAACAATGGATCATGCTTACGTGATGAAGCCGCCATAAGAACCCCTAAACTAGCGTTCAGAGAGCTTCTGGGTTGGTGAATGCATCCCTGATCTAGGTTGTTGGCAGAGCCCAAACCAGAAGGAGCGCAGAAGCTCCTGTGCCCTGGACCATTCCAGACCTCACCCTATGTACCGCTTCATCTAGATGTTCCTTTGTGCCCTTTACAATGTCCTTTATAATAAACCAGCAAATGTAAGTAAAGTGTTTCCCTGAGTTCTCTGAGCCAGTTTAACAAATTATCAAATCTGAGGAGGGGGGTTGTGGGAATCCCTGAGTTAGAGCTGGGTGGTTAGAAGTACAGATAACAATCTGGACTTCCGTGGCATCTGAAGTGAGGGCAGTCTTGTGGGACTGAGCCCATAATTTATGGGGTCTGTGCTTAGTCCAGGTAAATAGTGTCAGAATTGAGTTAATTTGTAGGACACCCCGCTGGTGTGCAGAGCTGGAGAATTGCTGTGAGGAAAAATCCCACACATTTGGTGTCAGAAGAATTGTGAGTAAAGAAAGCTTTCCTTTAGCACTTTTATTATTATTTGTGTCATATAGTGAGATTCTGTGTAATATTTTATTTGCTTTTGGGGACCTATTGATGGAAAAAAAAAAAGGGAGTGAGAGGAGGAATTCACTCCCAGAGTAAGTTAAGTAGCTTAGCCAAGATTGTGCTAAATGGGTTGGATGCAGAGCACAGACTAGGACCCAGCACAACTTCCAACTTCTATTCCCAGGGCTATTTTCATGGCCCTGAAGTGCAGGAGTTCACACACTTAATACTCCAATCCAGGTGCTGAGTTAATGTGATTGTGTGATTCCGGCTCTTTACCTTGGTCTGGCAGGGTCTGTTCATGCCCATTTGGAGGTTCATGAGGTCACCGAGGGGTTATAAGGAAATAGCTTGGATGCTTGGCTCCCTGGCTCGGGTCGGATGATATTGAGTTGGAGGACTTAGGGGAACAGGGAAGGAAAAAATACAAAAAGCTTGGCGTTGCTCCCTTAGCCTCCTAGCTTCCTCCGCTGACTCATTTGGGGAACAAAAACACAGGAAAAAAATACAGAGTACCTGCGCCTTATTATAATGACAAAGGGGACTTTAGAGCAGGCTGGGAAGCCAGTGACTAACTCATTAAGACTTGAGACCAGGTGGGAGACCAGTACTTGTTGTTATTTTGTAACATTTCTGAAAACCCGTCTTCTAATTCAGATTTTAAAACACTACTTAAGAGAACTTTAATAAAAGATTGATTGGAAAACAGTATGGTAGTCCCTCAAAAAATTAAACATAGAATTACCATATGATCCAGGAATTCCACTCCTGGGCATATACCCAAAGGAACTGAAAGCAGAGCCTCAAACAGATATTTGTCCACCCACATCCATAACAGCGTTATTTACGATAGTCAAAAGGCAGAAGCAATCCGTGTCCATCAATGAATGGATAAATAAAATGTGGCATATACATACAGCAGGATATTATTCAGCCTTACAAAGAAATGAAATTCTAGCATATGCTACAGCATGGATAAACCTTGAAGACATTATGCAAAGTGAAATAAGTCAGACATAATAGTGATCCCACTTAAATGAGGTACCTAGAGGGATCAGATTCAGAGACAGAAAGTACAATAGCAATTGCCAGGGGCTGGGAGGAGGGCGGGATGGGTTATTACTGTTTAATGGGCACAGTTTCAGCTTAGAAAGACAAAAAATTTCTGGAAATGGATGATGGTAAGTGTTATGCAACATTGTGAATGTACTTAATGCCACTGAACTATATGCTTCAAATGGCTACAATGATAAATTTTATTTTATGTACATTTTAGCACAACGAAAAAGGAAAGATTAATGCCAGGCAGTGTTTTGAGAGATATATATAGTATTTAACAAAGAAGAAAAATTCAAAGTGCTCCACCCATATGTCCTTTGGCCTTTAACTCCATTGTGACATCTTCCAATTAGGACTCTATTATTGAGAGTACAGTAAACAGGATGCTCATTGTGGCGGGAACTGGATTTCTGGGGAAGGATCCTGGATTTAATCTTTTTAGGAAAAATCACATAACTCTGATGTATTATTAGTATCTTAATGCTGTGAGTTGTTTTAAAGAGACAGTGCTTTTCTCAGCTGCCACCTGGAGGGAAGAAGTGGCTCAGAACTCAGGAATGGTCACTGGTGAGCACACCGGAGAGACGGCCTCTTCCTGCCACTCTGTGCGTAACAGCTTTGTTTCAGAGATAGCCTTATCTTGTTACGGAAAGCACAGGAGAGAAACAAGGGCCCCTTCCTACCAAGGTTGTGGAGAGGGTAAACATGAAATCAACGTATATGAAAGTGCTCAGCAAGTGCCTAGTACACAGCAGACACCCAAGGAACATTCTAGAACTTACGCTGTAATTGTCTACTACATTCTAGGTATTTTCAGATTCATTCAAAAATCCTAATTGAGCATGTATTATGTGCCTGGATCCCTACAAGTCATACATGATAAAACAGTCAATAAAATTAATTTTCTGCTTTCATGGTGCTTGCATTCTAGTAGGAGGGCAGAGGATATACAATAACCACACACTGCCAGTGGAGGTAGGGGATAAAAGAAAGATAAAGAAGGAAAGTAAGAGGACAAGAGAGTGGGGGGGGGGGAGGGTGGTCTTTTATCTGGGGCAACCTGGGAAGACTTTTAAAATCAGATGACATTTGAACAGAGACCTGAAAGGCAGGTAGGGGGGTTTGCATTTGGATAGATGAGTGAAGGGTGGTCTGGGCAATGGGAGGAGCAAGCAAAATTTCCTGAGATGGGGACATGCTTAGAAAGTTCCTGAAATTGCATGGAAGCCAGAGTGGCTAGAACAGAATAGGAGAGGGCGAGAGTATTGGAATATGAGTTCAGCAAGGTATGTGTATGTGTGTGTGTGTGCACATCTTGGGGAGTGTGTGCAGTCATATAGAGGATGGCTCTGGAAACTTCTTCTGCAAAGGGCCAAGAGCAAGTATTTCAGACTGTGGGCCTCATAGTCTCTGTTGCAGGCATTCAGCTCTGTTGTTGTAGGCTGAAAGCAGTTATAGACTGAAGGTAAGCACACGGACAATAAAAATCCAACAAAACAAGTAGTCTCTTAAAGGCCATGGTAAGGCCTTCAGCTTTCACTAAGACAGACAGGGTTGAACAAAGGAGTGACAAGATGTGACTTCCATTTAGAATGATCACTTTGGAAACCAGGTGAATCCTAAGGAGCCTTTACAATACTGAGGGGAGAGATGTTGGTAGTTTGCATTCAGACTGAGTAGGAGGATATATTTTGAAAGTAGAGCCAAAGTAAGTTGCTGACAGATTGGACTGGGGTATGAGGGAGAGGAGTGGTGGACAACAATCAGCTTTATAACCTGGAAAAGGGGCAGAATGAATGAAGCTGCCCTTGACTGGGTTGTGAAAGACTGCAGGAGGAAGAACTTTGGGGAGAAATCAAGAGTTCACATTTTCACAAGTTAAGTTTGAGATGCCAATAAGCGTAGAAGTGGAGACGGCAAGTGATAGGTGAGTTTGACCTTCTTGGGGAAGATCAGAACTGGACACATCAGTGAGGAAGTCACTGGTGTGGGGGTGGGACTGAAATCAATGGGACTGGATGGAATCAGGCCACATGAAAGATTAGCGAGATTTATCACATGGAGTGTGTGGTGCATCCTGAACAACAGGACCACGCCATGGTTAAGGTTTAGGCCCTGGAGCAGGTTAGCCTCTGGGTAAACCCTGCCCTGGCCACATACTACCTATACGTTCTTAAGCAAGTTAGTCAGTCTCCCTAGGCCTCAATCTACTCAACTGTATCCAACTCATAAAGTTGGTGTGAGGATGATAACACCCAATACTTGCCAAGCACTCAGAAAATCATGCCTCATCCTCCTGCTTAAAACCTGTAATGACCTCTCTTGCTCTTAAAACAAAGTCCCTAATCCCTGGCATGGCCTCCAAGGTGCCACCTGCTCTTGGCCCCTGCTGGCCTCTCCAGCTTCCCCTGCCCGTCTCCCTCTCAGTTTCTGGGTTCCTCACACCTGATCTTGGTTCTGTTCCACAGCCGCACCACAACATTTGCTCCAAACTCTTTTCTCTCTCCTTTTCTCCTGGCTCTTATTCATCCTTTAAATTTCAGCTTAAACGTCACTTCCTTGGCTAATGGTTCCCTGGAGAAGCTGACAGCATCCCAACATTTAGCAATCCCCTGCAGGCACACCTCTACTCAAGGTGAAAGTAGGATTCCCTTGCACTGCCATTAGTGGATGTTATGGTGAAGTCTACTCTACCCACCATCAGATGGACAGGGAAAGGAAACCAATATTTTTTAAAGTGTCTATTTGATTCCAGGTACTATATTATGCACTTTCTATACATTTTATCAATTAAACTTCCAAAAACTCAATAAGGTAAATATTATTATCCTTCTTTGAGATGTGAAGAAGTGAGGATCAAAGATGTTAAGTATCTTGTCCAAGGCCACAAGCAAGCAGGTGATGAAGCTGTGCTTTGAACCCCAGTCTGTGTCCTCCCTGACCTGCTCTCCTTCCCCCATACCTCACAGCAC